ACATTTGTGTCAATTCGGGATAGAATTGAATGGAAGTCGAAAACACCAAATGTAACATCAATTCAAAGACAAACGACCAAAACGTGAACCGAAGTACTTGTTTGATGACATTCACCACACGATCGCTATTCCAATACCACTTGATTTGATTCAACTAAAAGTTTTAAAAATAATTAATTTTAAACCCAAACTTTGACCAAAAAAAAGTTTACGAGAACTGACATCATTGATGAATGTGTTGTATTGATGAATAGGTCCCGTGAAGAATGCCGGCAGATATAGACAATAGGCGACGCATTGGATGAGTTGATTGGTTTGAAATGTTTTATGTCGTTGACTACGGATCCGGTCGATGGAAAGGCTTAGACACTTGGCGTTAAGCCACGCCATACACACTTCAAACAAAAACGATTGCCTTTCGTTCAGTTCTAATGAAGACTTTATGGGAACCAATGGATTGTGAACTGAATATAGTGTGAAAACAAACAACGAATAACAGAGATATTGATTACCAAATGAATGGATTAAAAGCGAGAGAATTATATTAATCCAAACAATTAGTAAAGTCTTGACGTTTAGGACAACTATCACCGCAACGGAGGTATAAAAACATTTGTGTCAATTCGGGATAGAATTGAATGGAAGTCGAAAACACCAAATGTAACATCAATTCAAAGACAAACGACCAAAACGTGAACCGAAGTACTTGTTTGATGACATTCACCACACGATCGCTCTTCCAATACCACTTGATTTGATTCAACTAAAAGTTTTAAAAATAATTACTTTTAAACGCAAACTTTGACAAAAAAGTTGGCGAGAACTGACATCATTGATGAATGTGTTGTATTGATGAATAGGTCCCGTGAAGAATGCCGGCAGATATAGACAATAGGCGACACATTGGATGAGTTGATTGGTTTGAAATGTTTTGTGTCGTTGACTACGGATCCGGTCGATGGAAAGGCTTAGACACTTGGCGTTAAGCCAAGCCATACACACTTCAAACAAAAACGATTGCCTTTCGTTCAGTTCTAATGAAGACTTTATGGGAACCAATGGATTGTGAACTGAATATAATGTGAAGACAAACAACGAATAACAGAGATATTGATTACCAAATGAATGGATTAAAAGCGAGAGAATTATATTAATCCAAACAATTAGTAAAGTCTTGACGTTTAGGACAACTATCACCGCAACGGAGGTATAAAAAATGAAAAAGTGCGGCAAATACTGGAATTAATGGATCAGATGTTCAGTTAATTAAAATGAGTGAATCGTTGGCTAAATCTGGTATTACTTTAACGTTGTATTTAATGATGAGTTGAGTTGAGACCAAATAAATGAAGACATATAAGAGGTTTTGTGTGAACGTATGTCTGATGGCATCCCATTCATAGTCAGACACGTCTCGCTGTCCACTCGTGAGCCACCCTTTGGCCACGTCTTTGGCGTCAATCAATTCAATCAAATCTAAAGTTTGTAACGATTTTGTGAACGAAATCAAAAATTAAAACTCAAATAAAATATGAAAACAAATAGTGATTACATTTGGAGTCAGAGATGAATGAATAGAAAGCGTATCCAAGACTTGATGTCCAGAGAAACCAATAAAAGTTGATTTCAAACCAATTCATCGCTAAATCATTGAATGAAATGT